TGTATTATTATTATTAACATTATAGTTATTACTATTGCATGTATTATCGTTATTGCTAGGCATTGTTGTTTTTGCTGTCGTTGTTGTTGTTATTGTTGATGATGATGATGATGATGATGATGTTGTCGTTAACATTATCATTGCCATTACTAGCCAGCCCTGACCTTTGATGGAGTTGAAGGACAGGTCCAGGTAGTGCAGGTACTTGACCATCCCGATCTGGGCGGGAAGCTCGTCCAGGGAGTTGTGCGACAGGTCAAGCCACGTCAGGCAGGTCAAGCGGTCAATGCTGTCCGGGATGAAGGCCACGGAATTGTGGGACAGGTCCAGTCTCTTGATGTGCGGCTTCTTCACTGTGGCCGGTGGCATCTCCGTGATGCGGTTGTTGCTGAAGTTGATGAAAGCACCGGTCTCGTACACGCCTTTCTTGAAGGATTTGATCATGTTGTGGGACACGTCGATGTATTCTAAACTCGTGGATTTCCCGATGTTTTTCGGGAGGGCCCGAATTCTATTTTTAGACGCCAGCAGGCGAGTTAGTCCTGTAGCTTTGTGGATGGGATTTGGTAGTTTCTTAATGCTGTTGCTCGTGAGATCTAGGATTGTCAATTTCTTGAGTTTTGCTACGGATGCTGGGAAGGAGGAAAGGTTGTTGTTTCGTATATCTATAGATTCCAAATTTTCTAGCATCGAAATTGATTTGGGTAGACGTTTAAGGCGGTTGTTTTCGGCGTTGAATTTGACGGTGAGCGCACTAAGTTCTTCGTTGTTATAGATCTCTACAGGCAGAGATTTCATGTTGGCGGTACCGAACTGTAGATGGACTCGCTTGGTGTCTCCGATTCTCTTGATGTGTCCTTTCCTCAGAGGCTCGGGAAGAGCGATAATTTTACTGCCCGGTCCCGTAGCGGGAGGGGGCTTATCGTCCTTTTTCTTACCTCCCTTGCCTCTCCCACTCATTGTTGCGGTTGATATGAAGGCGAGGTTTCCGAATTTTTCGGTTACTTTTTATTTTCAAGTGACGTCACGTGACGTCAGCGACTTAGGCCGTTTGTGAGCCACTTGCGGTCGTAAAACAGTGGATCTTCGTCAGTCTTGCTTCATGGGGTCATCTGGGGGAGAAAAAAAAACACATTTATTAGACATGCCTTTCACCCTTGTTGGCACAGTCAGGGAGGTTGTTCCGACCCTGGCTAACCACAGCAATGTGGCTAACTGTGTTATTCCGGCACAAAGACAGAGATACTCAATGCTACAACTTTTGTGTGTGTTTTATTGCGCTCACAACTGTAAAATGTCGTAATGAGGGCGCTGGACATATTAATCATTTTTAGTTTGGTAGGAATTGATTTTGAATTTTGCCCGGGTGACGGCCAAAGCCTACTCTTATCGATTGTGTACCATCACGGGATCTTTAACGTGCGGAACTCGCACACGGGACCTCCAATATTGTTAGCTCTTATCCGAGAAGGTTGGGTGTTAGATCTCACCTACCGTAAAATCAGGGGTGTAGCTGAAAGACAGTTACAGTAAGGAGCCAAAAAGTAGCAGTAGAAAGGCTACAGAAAGAGTCGGGAGCCCAGAGGAGGGGGCAAAGGAGGAGGGGGGGGGTTAGAAAATTGAGACAAAAGCAAACGAAAGAACATTGTTAGCGAGCAGGAAAGGAGTTAAAAGGAGACAATTTTAGAGAAGAAAATTTTCCCTCGCTTTCCAGATTCGAATCCGGGACCTGTTGAATGAGAGGAAAGCACCATTACCTCTCGACCATGAGAGCCCCGCTAAAGTGTTTGTCACTTGGAATTCAAGCTCTTGTCCTTTACCATTCAGATCAAAGTGACGATGCTTTTACACCACTGATGCTGACTGCGCATGAGTCTATGTTCTAACTTTAAACACACTTTGTTCGAACTCTTGTCATTTACCAGACGAAGCAAAGTGGATATGCCGTTACATCGCAGTCGCTGATGGAGTATAAATCCATTTTCAAACTGTAAACAAACGTATTCTTGTTGTCATCACCACCATCCAGTGCTATATCTCCGACAGACATCGGCCATCATGGTTCTCCATTCATTCCTTATCTCGGACGCTCTCAAAAAAGCAACGCGTCCCTGACCTTTCCCTGTTACCCATTTGTTTAGGTGAAATTAGGTCCCCTAAATATGTTGTTCTGGGCCCACCCCTTGTTGGACGTTTGTGATTTGACAGCTGCTGCACGACTTACGGTGTTGTTTTTCTATATGTGTCACAACGAGGTGGAATGAGGCCTTCGTCAATTTTTTGGGCATATTGAATTATTGGTATCATATCTTAAAGATTGTCTGTTTGTCTTGCTTTCAATGAAGGAAATACCTATCTATCTTCAATAGAAGTCGAAATATTTTCCATAGAAGGTGGGGTCGCCTGGTTCCTGTGGAAAAATTATCGAGAGAATGGCGCCAAAGTATGGTGACTTCCATAGTTTGAGAATCTTTTGAAACTGAAACTTTACATGTTTTGGTGTCTTTAAGCAACGCTTTTCGGTAAAAATCCACACAGAAATATGTTCTTAAACGGACAAAAAAGGTGCTGAGCCAAAAACAAAAACTTGACAAAAATGTTCTAACCTGCGAAAATGCCATTTTCTTGGATTTCATTATTTTAACAAGTGCCTCTTTTCACCGTGATGGATCACATATACAAAGTTCCTTAAATACGGACAGTTAACTGCCTTTCTTTGCCGCTTTCATAATACTACTGTTGCTCTTTTAATGTACGACTGTTGTAACCCCATCTTAGCCTAGCCCGAGACTAGTCCAGCAATGGGTGAAAGAGAATTGCTGTTTTTAATTTCAGTAATAGTTTTACGGCACTTACAACACGCGGTCATATAAGTGCTGAGGGTCAGAGGCGTTACAAGAGAGTAACAAAAACATAAAAGAAGGACGAAAGATAAGGACGAAAGATAAGGACGAAAGATGTTTGATTGAAATGAAGGAGAAAACCACATCCGAGCACTTACCAACCGCCCACAGAGAATTCCTGTGTTACATATATTTTGTGAGTAGTCCTAACAAAACGCTTCTGTTTCTTCATATTCAGAATCCTGCTCCTACACGCCCCATTCCTTCTTCAACATCTCTTCCCTCCCTCACCACCCCTTCCTCATCGCTCCCCTTTTAAAAAATCAAACAAAAACGTAGCATAACAATGAACATCAATATAATGGGATTTATGAAACGCAGGAATGGGCTTTTACTAGTCCCCTAGACCTGCTCCATTACTCAATTCTCGGGCCTGTCTGTGAAGAGGTTCAAGAGCAGTAACATGTATTGTGAAGTCTCGGCTAGAAACGTTAGCCAATGCGTTATTTCCTAGGTCGTTGTTTCGAACTGTTCAATTTTATTATTTCTTTTCTTGTTTTTTTATTGTTGTTATTGTTTATTCCTTTTATTAAAAAAATTCTCGAATGGACTGCTCACTTTTCAAAATGGCGCATGACGGAGTCGTACACCAAGCAGGCCAACTACTTCAGCATTTTACACCTTCAAACTTCTGTACACACAGCTCAGAACACCACAAGAATTGATCAAAAGTTCATACTAGAGTTGGAACGAAGTCAGAGTATTAATTGAGGGCTTGAAAGGGAAAGGAGTATTGTTCACTGGAATAATACGGGCAGTTAACTGCCTTTTTTTTACCGCTGTCATAATACTACCGTCGCTCTTTTAATGTACGACTGTTGTAAATGTCATTGTTTCAGAAAAAAAGGCCAGTAGCGTCGGGTGGGTTGTAAAGAGGGTATCATCATCATCATCATCATCATCATCATCATCATCATCATCATCATCATCATCATCATCATCATCATAATCA